CGTTACCGATCGCGTGTTAAAGTACCCGCCGATCAGAACCCTAGTGCCACCATCCTCTCCAACCACATCCCCCAACTCATTCAGGAACTCAAGATATCGGTTCTTGATGGCATAGAGGGAAATGTAGCATGAGAAGATCACGAGGTCACCGACTCTGGCCGCCACGATGTCTTGTCCTCGCCTGATAAGAGCGCAACCTAATGGAATTCCAGGGTGTTTTCAAGTTATGGCTGCCAATCCGCTTCCACAGACGTATCAATCACTCGCGTTAGGTCGCCTTCTAGGAGGTTTCGATACAATTCCAATCGTAATTACACTTTTACTCATATGCTGGACCATAAGATCGAAGGCTAGCCAGCTACGATTGATATTAATTTGTATGATCCTAAGAGCCATGACCAGTTCCCACATTTACACTGGGCTTTCAAATCGGTACAGTCGCAGCATTCCTTCCTCCAGTCATAGCCGTTACTTCATATTCAGACGACCCCATGCGACTATCAGTGGGACTATGGACCCACCGAAACACAAATCACACAGTGGGGACTCGTCGAGCAATCGCGGGAGGCATGACCGATACCGCCACATTGAAAACAGGCCCCAGTCTTGTCCTCCTTGGGCTTACAGGCATGCCGCACATGACCAAACTGTAAACATCTATAGCATTGCCGAGGGCAAGCTCACAAGAGTTCCACGCGCGCAGTCGTCCACCCGATACGCAACTTCCCAGGCGTAGCCACTTTAATCGTAGTCTCCAGCGGACACTGTACTCAAATGGATCCAAGGCCAATGGCCAACCTTCTAATCAGATCAGACTTGATTTCGCACAAACAACAATCCCCATTTGAAAAGATGTAAGCAACCTCGTCCATACACATCAAGTCATCAAGATCCCAAAGGCGAAGCTTCCCCTCTAACAATTAGCCTGTTAATTACGGCTTCTCCTTGGAGGACCTCGTTCAACTTCGCGGCAAGTGTGTCCGCCTTCTCCGCCCGATCAGCACCCGAAACCTCGATTAACATCGTACCGTTAGCCGCACGCCATATCCGGGTACCAAGGCCATCTAATTGGATTCGCTCCCGGGTCTTTTTAAGAAGATCGGCATACGATCGGCCGTCTCCGCCGCATTTAATGTTAATGGCCGCCATTCTGGTACCCCTCCTCATAATCCGAACCAGTGATCGCTGAGCGGACTTAGACCGCCCAACAGCACCGTCAGCAGGAGGATCCGCTGTCCTTCCAACCGACAAACCGCTCTTTCTGCTGGCCATCCGCTCTCTGAGCTTCGCAGAAGGTTTTCCAACCGACTCATTCCCCTGAGTCACAGTCGAGGATCCACGCGGATGTCGCTGCTGGCCAGTCCCCTCAATTGACGTTTTCTACCTATAACGCAACTTCTTCTTCGAGCAGATTTACCGGTGATCTGTCACTCAACACCGCCATCGGACGGCACCACCCAGGATATATTGGCTTCTCATGTATCTCCCATAGTCGAGTCCCCGGGCTGGTCATCTTCGGTGACGACGGGCTTGATTTCATACAAATCAGACCTAGGAGGAACAAGCTGTATGTCCTCGATTATTGTCGGCTTCCCAGAACCCCCTATGAGGAGGTAGCCCGCCAACAGATGAACCCGGCGTCACAACATCTGCATCGTGCAAAGTCCTCTTGCCGCTTCGGATTTCCCTACGAGCTCTGACCAACTCGGCAATCTGGCGAGATAGCTCCGCTTACCGCCTTCACCGTCGCAGGGAAATTACGAAGGCCTCATCGTTCTCGTAAGTCTACTTCCAGCAGAGGCGCCGGTTCACTTGATCCGCGCCCCTGCCGCACCACCATCCCTCCTGCCACGGGCACTCCGACCCGACTTTCCTCCCCCCTCCCCTCTGTGGAAAGGGGGATGACCGGCGCAGACATGGACAGCCTATATACGTCCGCGGCCCCTCTGTTAGTCGAGGTTTTGCGGACCCCCCTCGTCACGAGTCGCTTTCTCGCCGCACGCGCTGCGAGCTCCGCCTTCAGCCTCAAATTCTCCTGATGCAAGGAAATATTTATCCTGCGCAAAAGATTCGGGTTCTCCTTTCCCTCTGCTCGGAGCACCAGGTCCGAGACCATTTCGAGGGTCTCCTTTACCCCCTCTTAATCCGGTTCGAAATTTCGCTTTTCAAATTTTGGCTCTTCTTTCGTGCCTTTTCCACTTGGCCGAGGACCTCCATGAACCACGCTCGGAGGCCCGCGGTTGACTCCCTCTCCGCCCTGCCCCACGAGAAGTCGGACACTTAATCGCTGTCGAGGTGCGACAACGCCCTCTTCTTCCGCTGGGAGAGGAACGATACCGTCGAGGACTCAGTTGGCACCGAGTCCGCGACGGAGGCGCCCGTCTCCTCTTGCTCCCCTCTATCCTCAGAACAAATTTCTTCTATTTTCATTCCCCACAACTTCACACGGTTTCGGCTACCGGCATATCTTTACTCCCCCTCGCGGGGGAAGGCCCGAAAGTGTTCACCCGGAGCAGCCATATGGCACGGGTCCCCGGAAATACCGCATAGGGATATTGACCTCCCGCCCCCTACACTTGCCCGAGCTATCTAAAAACGGAAGCTAGGCCGGTTTTGGGAATCCCCTGCCTCCGACCCCAGGAGCACCGTGTGAAGCGTCACCATGCGGGAGGCCCCGTGAATAAACTGGTGCCGAGGGTGTTACAACCCACCCAAGGTCCGTCCGCCACGGCGACCGGCTGATGACGCCGCCTAGGGGGACAATTTTAGGTGTTGCGATCTCCGTCCCCCCAGGCACCTCCTCTTTCGTTGTAGGGCGGGTCACCCAAAGGGCGATCCGTGCACGATCCACAACCCCTAATACTCCCGGGCACAGCTGCCCACCCGAGAGGCCGGTGCCACTACGCCGCTAAGGAGCCCGATAACCTCCTATAGTGGGGGGCCCTCATCGCGCGCCGGATTCTCCGACGAGCGAATCAAGCCCTTCTATCGCAACCGCGGCGCTGCAGCCCACCGTGGCCCGGTTTTCTATAGGAGTTTCCTTTCCCTGAGCTATCGTTCACCAACGATCCTCAGGCAGGAGCCTCTCCTTCGACCGAAGGCAGGAGAGTACTGCCGCCACACCTTCCTTGGATTAAGTCGAGACCCCTTCCCCTCCACCACAGTAAGATGGCGGCACGGGAGGGACCGCCAATGTTATGTTTCAACAATTGCACGATATTGTGTTTATGTTGGCAATGCTATGGCCAATATTTGCCAATATAATATCAATATTGATTACAGATTAAATGCTAATTTACTGCCAATATTAATAATAAGATGGTATGACTGCCGTGTTAATAATAAGATGGTATTGTATTTACATTGGCCAAATTCCTCAATGTTAAACCAATATTAGCTATGGAATATTTAAAAATATACCATTAATATTGTACGTCAAATGTTTATATAATATTGGATTTACGTTAAAAATACGTTGGTCAATATTTCCCAATATAAAATTAATATTGATCTCAGAATAAATGTTAATCTATTGCCAATAATAACACGTCAATAAATACACAATATTGCATTTACATTGAAAGTACATTAGCCTATATTTTCTAACATAATATGAATATTACATATAGAATGAAGGCGAATGAACAACTAATATTATGTTTCATTAATTAAACGATATTGCGTTTACATTGGAAGTACATTGGCCAATATTTCCTAACACAATATTAATATTGATCTCTGAATAAATGGTAATCTATTGCCAATATTATATTTCAACATTTACATGTTATTTTATAATCTCTTATGACTTTGTCTGTTTAATAAGAACAACAACAAAAATTTTTACTATACAAATTTTAAGACAGAAATGGAATGTGCGGTGTTTTGTAGATCTCACCTCACTAGATAAGGTTTAAATTAACAATAAAGTACGAAAAATATAATTTTTATTAAAATTAAATCATATTATAAAATAATGATATTACTGCATTAATTGCAACATATATAGACAAAATATAAGACGTTTATATTAATCGAAGAAGTGATGTAGAATCTTAAGCAATAGGCTCATAATCCAAAGGTGCCTCAAGTCCAAGTTCCAATCCCAGTGTTAGTGAGAATTTTTAAGTGTGATGTAACATTTGGAATCAAATAATCTTAAATTTCAAGTAAAGTCAGCAAACGCTGACTAGTTCTTCATTTCAACCAATTCGCTAATATTTGTAAAAAGTAGAACACTTTGCGCTTATTTGAATATTCCTTGTAAATTCTATGAATATTCCGGAATATTTTGAGATATTTTTGGAATGTTATTTTTGGATTTTAGGAATATTTTATAAATTTTCCAGGAATATTTAGCGTTTACTGGGATTAGTTTCACATTAGAATCCAGTTAATGTCCAATATAAAAAAATTGAGTAAATATTATTGCTTAACATTTGCCTAATATTATCCAATATCATTGGATCAATATTGCTGACCAACATTGGTTAAATATGAGGTGATATCCATTTTACAATATTGGACCAATGTTGCGAAATCAATTCATATTCAATATTTAACATTGAATTTACATAATTTCCCAATATTGCGCCAACATTTTATGCTACATAGAGCAAAAGTAAAGACAGTTTTACGAAGTAATATAAACCCAAGGAATCGATTAAGTTCATTCAAAATCGCATCCGTTTAGCCGTTATAGTCGAAGGAAGAATCTGTGTTAAACTAAAGTCGTTATATATGTATACATGTTTGGCTGCGAGTCCGTTGTTGCACTTGCACTTGACTTCGCGACAACTAATGTGTCGCTTGATACTTCCCAAAATGGTAAATGTGTGAAAAGTATTTGTTTTCATCTTCTTTTGACGTCTTTTAGACATCTTTAGGCCATCATAATGTTGTCTGAGTATTTAACTTTATTTTGATATAGTATGAACAATAAAGATACTACTATTTCGTAATTCTAGATTAAATAATAAAAGTTTTTTTTAATATTTTAGTCGAACGTGTCACATTAATTGCGAGGTTCATGGACTCGACACCGTTGCGAAACATATCGAGTCTACAAGCTGCATTAGCGAATGCATTTTGTTATTTAATCACCAGCATGGACGATAATAACGTCTATGTTGCGCAACGTGCAACCTTATATCTCGGTACTATTCATGATGCAGCAGTCAGAGTAAGTAACTCACATTTTTAATTTAATAAAGCATTTTAGCGATAGTTTACGTATTAAATTTAAATAATTATTTAAATTTAATAATTAATTATTCAAATTACCAAAGCTATTTTCGATTATCCTTTAACTTTGATATATTAGATTGTTATAAATAAAATAGTTGTTTTTAAATTTAAACTTTTATAAATCTAAAATATATGTTATCAATCAAAATATTTTCCACTCGCTTTAATATTTTCCCAATACGATACAAGTATTATATATTAATACTTTTATTATAAAAATCGAAAGAATGGAAGAGAGGTAATAAACTCTTTTAATACCTTTTTTACGTCTATTTCATTTTTTAATACTTTTTCCTTAAAAAATTTAAATACTTAAATACATGATAGTCTTAGTTGGTGAGAGAATGTATAAAAGGAGAGTATAAAGGGGGTAGAGGGTGTGAGAGTGAATTTTATACTTTAATTCTGCATGGTTTTTTGCAATTTGTTTTGCTATGTGCGATCGAGCATTGTCATGCGACAATAAAAATCTATGTTTATTGATTAATGCTTCCAAAGGTTTTAAAAAGGGAAAAATATGTTTTTTCGTTTTTTCAATCTAGTTTAAAAAATACATTTTTTATAGGAAATTTAGTTCTTTTTATTTAATATTTATTTAAATTGTATTGGCGTCTTTCGTTCTTGCTTTGTCTGTTTCTGTTGTTGCTGCTACTTCGGCTGAGGTGGTGGTAAAGTTGTCGATGATGGTAAAGTTGAGGATGATTTCTCTTTGAATAGCTCCGTGATCGGTTCATTTTGCTTTCCTTCGCGTTCAGCAATTTGACTATCACCACCGTTGGCAACAGCAATAGCATCACCATTGGTTCCTCCGCTGCAACTGCCAAGTTTCGGACAATCGTCGGACTGCCAATCGTCCGAAAAAATTTTTTTTATTAATTTAAATAATGTCATACTTTGGTAATTACGGAAATTAATCCTGTACATTATGAGTGTAATTTTCCTTCCAAATCTTTGTTTTCGACATTTTGATACAAAACATTTGAGGATCGAAGTGTCAGATTTCGAATTTCGAAATTTCGAGTCTTCCAAAGTTTACAGATATGTTATGAAAATGTGGAAAGTGTATGAAGTAGGACAGAACAAACCAAGACGGTATAACAATATTAAAGTCTATCTAGAAAATAGCGACGGTAAGTTTGATTGCACCATTTTAACTGCTAATACCTAAACTCCGTTTTTTATATCTCAATTATTCCATCAACGTCATTAAATCTGAAATAGTAAATCTTTCCTTCACTTGTAATTGTGACTATATACAAATATATTTCCCCTGAGCACAGATTCGGAAATAACTATTTTGCATTCTTAATGCTTTAAATATATTAAAAATCATAACAAACCTACTTTTTTCTTAAAAAAAAGGTAAAAAAGGCGCATGCACTTTCCCCTATAAATAAATACAAAAATAATAATTAAATAATAATATAATAAAATAATAATAAAAGTTAAATAGATAATAATAAAATAAAATAAATATAAACCTTATTTAATCTAAACAAACCTAAATACATACAAATAGACTCAAACACATACATAAATTATGATATCACGAAATTTGCGCCAAGTGTGGCCATGATATAATAATAAAATAAAATAAAGATATATAATTAAAATAATAACATAATCTAACCTAATCTAACTTAAACCCAAATACACACAAACCTAAACAAATACAAACAGACTCAAACATATACATAATACAAACAGACATAATCGAAATCCAAAATCACTTGGCGTGTCTAGAAATACACACAACTAATTGCAGTAGAACATTTTATAAAATAAAATGGAGATTCATATCTTTCTGAAAAGTTATTTGTTTTAATGTTAATCGGGCACGCCAAGTGATTTTGGGTTATGTCTGTTTGTGTTATGGTATATGTTTGAGACTGTTTGTATTTGTTTGAATCTGTTTGTGTGTATTTGGGTTTGTTTAAGTTAGATTAGATTAGATTAGGTTATTATTTTAATTATACATATCTTTATTTTATTTTATTATTATTATTATTATTATATCATGGCCACACTTGGCGCAAATTTCGTGATATCATAATTTATGTATGTGTTTTAGTTTATTTGTGTTGTGACGATGCCTTACACGCATCGTCCCTAATAACAGCCAACACAACATCCGTTGGCTGTAAACGGCGCTAAGCGCCAAACAAATAATCCAAACATAAACAGGCGCCACGCCTAAAGACACGTAACGTCAACAAACAACATCAAATGTAACGAGACGGTATATAAACCGTGGCCGAGAAATAAGCGGAGAGACCGATCCGGACCGCCGACCGAACTCGATGCTTCAGAGCGGAGAGCAAGGTATCCGACCGTATCGTTTCTACCTGCCCGTCACCTTCCGAAACCACATCGACGAAATCGGCACCTGGAGATTGTGTGTTCGCTATCTCCATCAAGCGCTCTTGATACCGACTTCGCCGTCCTCTCAGGATCCAACGACCGGCCTACGAGTTCGTGTGTTCGCGAACCCGATCGAGTCCTCTCGGTACCGATCGTATCCCGACCCCA